CCCTTTGTCTTAATTTCTTCCACCAGCATTTGCTTAGTTTTTCCTAAATGCCGCACAAGTGCCACACAAGGTCTTGGTTAAGTTATGATAACAGTTTTAGATTTGGCTTCTTATATTTATCATATGTTCTAAATTCAAAATATCTCATTCAACGGGCTGCAAGTTTATCCAATGAATCAATCATTTGTTAGAAAATATCAAGACAAGCATGATTCTTAAGTAGAACTTTAACTGTATCAAGAGTAGGGGATGGCAGAAGTTGGGTGGCTTATAAATTCAAATAAATAAACATTAACCTAAACTTGAAATAGGAAAAAGGAGTTGACAATTTTTTGAATCGTATCTGGAAAAAATCTAGAGGCACTCTTTACTCCTTGGCTGTCTGTATTTTTATTGTCCAGGTATGGCATGCCCAATTCTATAATAATACTATGGTAGGCATTATAATGTATTTTAGTTAGTGTTGGAACAACCAAACTTTCCTGACTCAACTTTACTCAACTTTTGTGCATTACAACTGTGATTATTCAATTGTTTCATTCAGGCACAGCACTAATACACATGCCTGCCTAAATGCTGTTTTTTGATGTGATAGAATAATGCTAAATTTTAAGCAGATCAGAAATTGGTCAAATTGTTGCACCAATATATACTTGAATTATTTTAAGCCCCTGTCATTTGGACTGGCTTAACAGCGGGGATTAAACAGTCATCAGCAGGGTTTAATAAGTGAGAAGATGAAGAGATAGATAGATAGATAGATAGATAGATAGATAGATAGATAGATAGATAGATAGATAGATAGATAGATATAAAAATGGAATTTTAATTATGCTAGTCCTGTAAATGCTTTATCTATCATCCAGGTGATATCAGTTTTGCCTTTCATTTTTAAAAACTTTCAGTATGAGATAAAAGTTTTAAAAAACTTTTATCTCATACTGAAAAAATGTATAATGAAATAAAATTCCAGAAATGGGATCTATTATAAGCCTTGTAATGACTGGCTATTACTCTAAACAATAATAAGCACATGAGAGCAACAGCATACAATTGCAATTGCTTTGCTCTCCTTAAAATTGATGTATGACTTCTGCGGAAAAACTGAAGAACATTCCAGAGGATTAAATTTTTAAAAATGCATACAAGCACAACATAAATAATATTACTTGTACTTATTTGTTTTGTTTGAAGGAAAACAAAAGTTGAATTTTGTTAGAAGTTTTTTGAATATATTTAATACAAACTTATACAAATACTATATGTATGTATGTATGTATGTATGTATGTATGTATGTATGTATGTATGTATGTATGTATGTATGTATTGCTCTGTTTATTCCTGATCTACTTCATTGCCACTAACTTCACAAACTTTTAAACTACTATTAAACATTGAATTATGTTTGGACACCAATATAGCTAACTACTGAACAAATATAGTTATATAGTTAGGACAAAGTCATAGAAAGAAATATTCACACATTGTAACCAGAACTACAAATATATTGTAAACTGAAATACTTTCTGTTACTTGTTTACCAAAGTACAGCCTAACGGTAACCATGAACAGATGTATATTTCTAGTGACTTGGGAACGGTAGGGAATGAAAATTGTATTCATAAGAAATTCTTTATGTGAGATTTGAGAGGTTAAAAGAAGTTTCCTGTCTGCATAGTCAAAATATTATTGAAGCAATTCAGGTTGTCAGTAAAAGATTAAACCAATTTGCTGATAATCCTGTTAATGACCCAGGTCAAGTGTTAACTGTTGCAGGTTATAAAACAGTTAAATTAAGGTTGCCGGTAACCAGGAGCAAATAGTATCATTATAGGAATGGATTAAGGGGAAAAAGTTACAAAATTGCAATTATTATTTATTTGATTCATGATGCAAAACATGTTTCCAATTAAATGGGGGGAGTGTTATCTGTATTACAGATAATCTAGGAGACTCTTGAAAAGTCCATCTTGAATTGAAAAAAGAGGGAAATTTTATAAGAATGTGCTTTTAGACCTAAAGTTCTATTATTATCTTTAAAATCTATTCAAAGCTCAGCAGGGAATAAATACTATTCATTATTAAGACATTAATTTATATCACAATTACTGTTAACAGCTACAAGATTAACTCTTCACAACTTTTCTATTCATAATCAATATATTTAAAAGCAATTTGAGATTATTTAAATGCCTCTTTGATTCAATACATAATGTATATCCCTAGAACAGATTTCAATTTAATTAATACTATATTATAAATAGCACTGAAGAAAATTATATTTTACAATCTATTTGCTTAATTGGAGTTTCAATGAAAGATATCATGTGGTCCTATTCCAGAATGGCTATAATAAATATTTTGTGTAATATGCCACATAACCGCAGAAATCAAATAATAGGGGGGGAAATGTTTTTTTTAAAAAAGAAATAGCCACACACACCTAAAAGTAATCAGTTAACACAAGTCTGTATAAGTTGGTATCAACTCAGTTCATACAATTTGCTCTGCTCTTCTGCAGAATCATAGATCAAATTATATATAGAGCTCCAAAATAATTTTTAAGTGTTTTGATCACTAATTCACCAGTAGATGGTATGAAGAAAAAGGATTAATCCTGTATGTCCATTCAGGTCCTATTATTGCAATTTGGCTAATTTACAGATAATTAAATACAACTGCAAGTTTAGTTATTGTATTTATAAGTATGCACTCTTAACAAATTCAGAAAATGGTGACTGTTTTCAACAGTGCTATTTAGTTATGTTATTTTATAAAAAGTTCAAATATAGGGAAATGATGTCAAATAATACAGTTTAAAAATATATATTTTTATTTGACTGTCTGATAAAAATCCAATGGACTCAAACAGAAACACATGTTTCTATATTTTATTGTATATTTCCCTATATTTATTCTATATAATACACCTAATTCAAATTACAAAATTTTAAAACTTAATATTACTTATAATATACTTACTTCAAAGTTTGGACAATTTAAAGAAATGCTGTTGCTTTACATTTAAAAATTAAATGTATAGCTTACTCAGTTAGGTTATTATGATACTAAGGAATATTATATAGAATCTATTATTGCCCACCCATCCCAAAAGTAAGAAACAAAGAAAGAAAGGGTGGAGGGAATCCAACTACGTAGACTGGAGAAAAAAAAACACATATCGTCCAAACAGTATCATCTGTGGACAATAAATTCAATTTATTACCACATTCAAATAGCAAAAAAATAAAACAAAATAAATACACTTAATAACAGATATAACAGATACAAACCTAAGGAGTTTATATAGTAACAGTTGCTATCTTAATATATAATATGATTTGCCTGCCAGCACACTAGATGGTTTATTGCTCTATTGTGTATCATCCTTGAGTTTTGCTGATAAGACTTTCACCTAACTCCAGAATGGTCTCTCCAGAAAGAGATTTCCTATCAGCTACACATATTCTACTCATTATTTAACTACACTATAATGAATCCAATATATATAGTCAAATTATACACATGCATAACACTGAATGTGCTTTTACCAAGGAGATTTTTTCTTTCTTTTAAGCTGAAATAAACTGGCTGTTTTCTTACAAAAATCATTTGTGTATTGAATATAGCACTCCTCAAAGCAGAACCAATCAACAAATAAATAAGTCTGTCTTTTCCTGTTGCAAGTGCAAGACAAAACAAAAACATTCAGAAATCCCTTAAACTAGCAGTGATCAAGCAGGTGCAAGATTTGTATAGTTCCTGGATATGAATTATCCCCACCCTTTTGGCCTGTACGTTTGTTACACACAAAGTGTGTTTGAACAGACATGTTGAAGATTTAACGTTGAACACTGTAACTTCAATGATACATATGTATGGAATATCTTCTATTATTTTTTGAAAACATCTACTCAATGTCCCTTCAAAATATAGCTTTGGAAATCACAGTAACAATATCTTATCCATATTGTACCTATTTAAATTGATTATAACATGCAACTTACACAACAAAATAAGTGGTGTCCCTAAGTCACACGAAAGATAGGTGATTTTTTTTTAAAAAAAGCAACATTTCATTACATCTAAAGTTTGAGACGCAACCTAATAAAGCCACGTTTTAAAATGCAAACATTAATTTCTATGACATTTTTTTGAAGTGGGTGGGCTACTGGGCTTTTATTTAATTAATTATTTCTGTAGTATGATTCGGTGCAATTACATCACAACGATAGGTGTAAATGAGTCACCAGCTGTGATCTCTGCAAAAAGAAGTCTTTGCTCTAATAAACTCTTGGGATACCTCCGGGTAAAACAGGTTGCCTTCCTTCTCATCATTATTAGTCCGGAGAAAACCACGTTACTGAATCAAAAGAAAAGGCGATAGGGAATTAGCTTTGTTTTTGGAAGCACCGTTTAATTTCTCCAAATCTATTCTTTGTTCCTCTTCCCGAGTGTTTGCTTTCACCAAAAAATGGAAAAGGGAAAAAAAAAAGAAAAATAGTTGTACGGGTAGTTTACTCTTCCTTCCCCTCCTTAGAAGAGAGGCGATTGCACGGTAGAACTTCCCCGGGAAGGTTTCTCTGCGCCATCACATTTATGCTAATAATCAAACATACACGCCCTTTTCATTATAACCTGGATCCAAGTCACTTCGCACCGGCACCCGCTTCGACGCGCGACAGTCAAGCCACAGCTGATGCAAAACGCCGAGAGCTCGCCCGGTTCTCTTTCACCTGCATCTTCCCGAGAGGGAACTAAGGGACTCGGGACCGTCACAGCCAGAGAGCCACCAGGCGCACCCGAACCAACTTTGCCCATCTGCGCCCGTTCACACCCACAAAAACGCCCATGTGGCTGGTCCGGGATGAACGCCGCGCAGCTTTGATCGCTCTTCAGTGGCCCACCTTAAAAAAAAGAGCAACCCAACCGTGGACCAGGTTGGCAAGCGAGGCGTTTAACTCCCGTCTTTCCGAAAAGCGGCGCCTTCTGGGCTTACCTTCGTTGGTTGGGTAAAGACTCAGATCTGCCAAGCAGCCGAGCGTAGATCCCAGGAGGAGGAAGAGGAGGCTGGGGAAGTGACAATCCATGCTGTGGCTGGTGCAGAGGGCAGCGCGAGCTGCATCTCTTCCCGGAGCATGCCACTGATGTGAGCGCTCTGATGGCAGGAGAAGTTACCATGCTCCGCTCGCAGCCTGATGTCAAGTTTGACACTGGAAATGAGGAGGAGTCTCGTGGACTGCCGGGGCTTGCCGGCAGCTTGCCGGCCGGCGCGCCAGGTCCTAGCGCCCTCTTTTCTTTCCCTCCAGCAAGCAAAGCCGCGGGAGGAGGGGGGGGGGGTAGATCCCGGAAAGCTGAGATTCAAAGCGACCGAGGAGGAGGAAGGAGGGGCGTTTGGCAGGCAAACGTCGAGGGGGTCTGTGCGTGGTGGGCAATCGGACTTCGCGACCAAACCCCTCCTTGTTTGGAGAGCCCTTTAAAAAACAACAACAACAACAACCCAACCTAAAAAAACAAGTGTCGGCTTTGATTCCAAGAGAGGCGCGACGTTATCGATAGGATCTCCCCCACCCCTTCCCTTGACCTCCGCTTTTGTTTTCGGCCAAACCCAAAGGAACAGCTGTGCCGTACAGCAGAAGCGAACAACGTGTGCGGAGTTGCAGGATGAAGGAGGGGGGAGAGAGTAGGGAACATTTGAGACAAAATCCTCGTTGAAATCGCCGAACTTGCCCTCTTGAGATGCGCTGCAGTTTACTTAGCCTCTGCACTTGGCGGTAACTCAGCAACTCCGTCTAGTCTGCAAACCCTCCGCCTTCCGACGATACGCTGACCCAAGGTTATTTAAACGGCCCTTTTCTCGGTTAACCCAATTAAACTGCGTCTCCATCGCGCCCATTGAACTAAGAACTAACCACATGAGCTGGGTTCGTACAACCCACCAGGCTAATACACGGTTGGCTAACTAACCAGTAGTACGCTAAATTTGTTTCATTGGTTTAAATCCCGCACAGCCCAGGCTCGGCTGCCGGGAGAGGGGGAGACGGGGTGATCTTTCTATGGGAGGAGGGAAGGGAAAGGCGTGGGAGAGAGAGAGAGAATAAATGCGTGAATGAATGGATATGAATCACTTCTGGCTTTCTCTGGATGCTGAAGAGAGGACCAGAGGCACAGTGCTAACCGCCTAGAACAGGAGAGGAAGGGAGAAAATGGGCACCACCAGCCATGAAGCCTGGCTTGTCATCTCTCTCTGGTCAGTGGTGTATTAAGCAGACTAAGCACGTGCTTAGGGCAACAGGCCCAAAGGGGGCACCACAAATTTGAGAAAGAAAGAAAGAAAAACCAATGAAGATTTCTACAGTATGTACAAAGGCACTAAGACTTGTCAGTGTTTAGGGTACCAGTCAGTGAGCCTTAATCCACCACTGCCTGTAGTCCAGGGATAAAAGTTCCAAGGGATTTCCCAGCTGAGAAGGAGAGAAGTGGAAGGATGGAGATATGCTTTTCTTGGATCTTTTCATCCTGTACTTCTTAACAGTGGAAGAGATGAGAGGCTGATTTGTATACTTGCTTCAGTTTGATCGCTTTTCCTTTGATTTTTTATTTTTTTTTGAATGGAGGTGGTGGCAGTAAACTGTCTCTTTAAAACATGTACACGTTTTTTTAATTCCAGTAAAGAATAAATTGCCACAAATAGTATCTTACTGGATTGAAGTAATTTGCATTGTCAGATTTTGGAAAGGGGGGAGATCATCTTTGAAGAGTAGTATAAAGATCACTTTCTTCAGTTTCAGATCTTCATTGAAACAAAGAAGGAAAAGGGAGGAAGACGGTTTTATCGTAAATAAAAGTAAAAGAAAACCAATTATTCATTTGTTCTTTATTCATCAGCTCACAGGGCACCTCAAGATTTAAACTATAAACTTCTTGGGAAATGGAATCCTTTTATTTTTACCGCTTGTGGCATCATTATACACTCTTCGTTTCCTTTGTGCATGAGTGACTAGACGTTCAATCATACAGCAGTTCTCTAAAGCAGGAACTGCTCAGGAAGAATAACCAAGTTTTCATAAAAATTTAAGTTATCTGGATTTTCTAGCACCCTGTGATCTCTGGATCCCAGATGTGCAACTGGGTTTAATATACATCCCAGAAATGGAAGTAGTTCAACCTTTGCAGTAAGTAATGTAGGGCAACTGAATCTGAACAGCTAATGCCATGCTGCCAAGTAGGAACCTCATTAATCAAATAGTAGCAGTGATGAGGAAAATCATGATAAACTCTCAGGATTTTATTATTGAGATTGAATGGCTACACATTGAATACTTATGAATTTTTCATTTTATTTACTTCATATCCAACTGCTACTTTGTTTTCAGGTAATTGAAACAGACACCCTTTAATTTTTAGACTACAGTGGGACCTCAGATATCAACCATAATCTGTTCCAGGACTTTGGTCGGCACCCGAGTTGTTCATGACCAGAAGCAAGACTGACTGCCCATGCACGCATACAAAAAAAAATGGTATGGAATAAGAAATTGCTACAGCAGAGAAAATTGCTGTGTTTATTTGGCACCCAAGGATGTGTTCGTGACCTGAATGCAACATTTAGCAGATTTTTTAGGTGGTACCTGAATTGTTCGTGGTCTGAGCTGATCGGGACCTGAGGTCCCACTGTACCTGAGATGGGGTCCTACCAGTTCGGACCAGTTCGGAGAAGTAGGTAATAATTCTCCCTTCAATGCCCCTAAACCAGTTCTCTTGATTGTGCCATAGGCACTGCCATCTTGTTTTTTTCCTTCAGAAGCATTTTGTTTAGTACTGTGCATGTGTGCATAGCACACATTAAGCATGCACGGGCGCAGCACGCCCCTGAGCGAACCAGTAGTAGCAGCAACTGGAACCCACCCTGCACTGTACTTATTGAATTACATCTCTCTATAGGAATGGGCCTGGCCCTTCTTCGTGAAAAACAAGCACATTGATATTTCCTATTTTCTCCACTTTCAGAAGGCCAAGTTGGTCAATGCTTTTAAATGGTTTGTTTGTTTGTTTTGGTGGTGCCATTGCCCTTAGGAATGACCTTCTACTTGAAGTTAGATCTGCTCCTATCCTTCCCGAAGATATTGGAGACAATGTTTATTCTGGAGGACATTTAAGTCATAATGCCTCTTAGTTTGTTAGATTCCTTTTCTATATTTTTTGCTTTTTCTATTGGGATTGTATGGTATTTGTAAACCAAAGAGAATCTGTTAGATTGCAAAAAGGAAAAAAACATAACTGTTAAATCAATCAATTTCTCTATTATGGAGGCACTATGAGTTCAATTAAAACATACTGAGGAGGAGTTGTTTTTATTTTGGCCAGAGTTTGAAAACAGTTCTTTCCATTTCCAATAAAGGTAAAACTCGAAAAATTATAATAACGTGCAAAAGTTCATTTATTTCAGTAATGCAATTTAAAAGATGAAACTAATATATGAAATAGACTCATTACATGCAAAGCAAGATAGTTCAAGCCGTGATTTGTCATAATTGTGATGATTATGGCTTACAATTCATGAAAACCCCAAATCCACAATCTCAGAAAATTAGAATATTGTGAAAATATTCTAGGCTCAAAGTGTCCCACTCTAATCAGCTAATTAAGCCATAATACCTGCAAAGGGTTCCTGAGCCTTTAAATGGTCTCTCAGTCTGGTTCAGTAGGAATCACAACTATGGGAAAAACTGCTGATCTGACAGTTGTGCAGAAAACCATCATTGACACCCTCCACAAGGAGGAAAAGCCTCTAAATGTAATTGCAAAAGAAGTTGGATGTTCCCAAAGTGCTGAATCAAAGCAC